TGTCCTAGTGTCCTAATGTATATTTTGAAAATATAGAGTGTTTGCATGGGTTACCATTGTTGTCCTACGTATACTGTCCTACTGTYCTAGTGTCCTAATGTATATTTTGAAAAGATAGAGTGTTTGCATGGGTTACCTTTGATTGAAAAATAACACAAGCAACCCACAGGGTCTTAATTGAGTTTTTAAATAATAGGAGACTATGAACTTTAAGTGTCAAGCCTTTGCAGGGTTTTCATTAAGTTTTGAAATGATAGGAGAAGATCATGGTAGAGTTCAAGCCAGAGAATTATGCTCAATTACTAGAGCATTTTGCAATCTCTGCATGACCCCTTAACAAAATCCCTGGAACCTCTTAGAAATTGATGGTAGAAATGTATCACTGGAAAAAAAAAATGGATTCCCAAATTGGGAATTTGTTGGGAACTKCCTTGAACTCCCAACGAATTCCCGTCCAATTCCCAGAGAGAACGAAATTGGGAACATGGCACTGATTCTCAATGTTAGTTTGTTGGGAATTTTGTTTTTCTATTGGGTATTAGAAGGAAATTCCCAACAATAAATCCCAATGTTGGTGTTCGAATTGGGAATTCAAGGAAATTCCCAACAAATCCCAATTTGGGAATCTGTTTTTTYCCCCTGTGGCATAGGGAATGCAAGTACAAGTGATACAAATACAATTCCTTCATGATACTTCTTAAGGCTCATGATCTAAAGCATGTATCTAGAGTGTGTTTAATTACCACTCTTTGTCATGCAGCTATAAATATTATGCATACCCAATGTCAGTACATGGCTAAAACTGGATATTTTTTGTCTTAAATTTTACATCTAAAATYATTTGCCAAATGGTATTACCACTGTAATCTTAATTGTTTCAAGAAATTTTCGTTGATAACTCRATCATGATAACAGGTTACCACATAAAATATTCAAAATCATTTTTTTAGTTATTAATTATTAACTATAAATTTTTGCAAGTTATACATCTATGTCAAAATAACAAATCACTTTAAACTGCACGACTATAAATCCTCAGCATGGGTTAATGCCAAACAGTACAATCTTTTTCAATTATTTTTAATCTAAATTCAAACCAGAAAACAATCTTATAATATCAAATTGATAAAATGTATTTATGATGCTAGACCATACAATCACACYTCAATATTCAGATTGACTCCAATCTTTTTGCCATTGCTACGAATTAAAGTAAGTTTCTGACAGTGCTTATAGATGTCAATCAAAGTATGTAAAAAAAAAGYGTGTAATCAAAGGGTTGTGTAGCAGCGGCAACTCACTTGCCTAATAGCCTCTCACCTCTGGGTTCAATAGCCCAATTCCGAGATATGCTTTGCTTATTGTCACACACAAAGGATTCAATGTGAAGCTTTGTGCATGATGCTCAGTGATTCGTGTGACAGGAGGAAAGAATACATTTAATTTAGCACATATAGTATAGATAGCCTCAWACTGAAACCTTTATGTGTGACAAGCAAAGTATATCTCAGAAGTGTGGGCTATTAATTCCTTGCAGCATTACATCAGCAACTAGAGTTTGTCATCTTCACAGTCTTACTAATATCTGACAACAACTTTAAATGTTATTTCTTTTTTCAAATGAAAAAAAATTATCTGGAGTGTGACATCACATGAAAAWCCTCATGCAGTCTATAGAATTATTTTTTATATAATACATTAAGTAAAATCTAAGTGTTTTTGAATTTAATATCTTTAACCATAGATTTGTATTTTTACTGCACGTATATATTACTCAAATCATGCAACGTCCTAACTCTTAGAAGAAAGTAAACAAAACGTGAAAAATAACCTGCTGAGATTCAAGGAAACATGATGTGTGATTGGCTGTCTCCGTCTATAACCTTTTTGCCAATGGCAACAATTATACTAGAATATATATGGTAACTTAAATAATTTATCCTTGAATTTCAAAATTTMAAATCAGAAAAAAAGGGCTAAAAAAATAACTGAAAATTTGTGTAATTTGCATAGATAGTTTTGAATGAAAACAAATGCTTAAAATTTAACGGCAATACTTTAAATGCATCAAGCCATTTATTTTYAAAAACAATACAAAAGCAACTAAATTGTTTTTTTTTTAGATGAAGACAATATTGTACTGTAACTTATTTTAATTCAATTTCATTTATTTGAAGCAAAGCTACAAAACCACTGTGGAATTCCACTGAGATCTCTATTGGACCCAAGCTAAAAAGTGTTTTTTGTAAAGCCAGAGGGGGAGAATATGACTTTTACGGCCAAATTGTTGAGAGAAAATAAGAGGGATAAAAAAATAGAACATGTTAATGTCATACAATGGCTGTAGATTTTAAACACCACTGAACGTCGTATTCAGTGCAGCTGATGAACCTGCTCAAAATTACTAGAACTTTCAATATTTTTGAGCTTTATAATGGTTCAATTTATTTATATCAAAAGTTAAAGATAAGATAATTCTCAAAATTTTACAAAGAGCATTAATGAGTGCTCTTCAGTTTAAGATAATAATTGTTCTTCAAAYCTTTCTTTACTTTTTTGAAATTTGTGCAGCATCAATTATAGAATTTTACACTTTGCAGAATTTCGACTCAAATKAATTTTTTCGGTTTTTAACTCGTTAGTGAAAACAAAACAAAATTCAGCAATAATATAAGTCTATATTTTGATCAGCCTGTATATATTCCTGTTTTGAATAAGCAAAGATTTCTCAAGTACTCTAACTTATACACTTCAAAATCTTTGTAAAAACGGATAAAGAAAATCGAGCAAATTACTGTGAGTAAAAGCGTTATATGCAAATGTGGATTTCTCCTAAGTATTAACATTAAAATGAGCGGAAAAAACTGAATGAGAGGGAAAACAAAGGGATATTTTTTAGGAGGGAAAAAAATTGAATTCTCATTTCTTTTTCTAGACATGGTAAAAGTATATCAGATGTCGGGAACGTGCTCAGAGATTACCTATTTCGCCGCAGGTCWACTCATAGTGGCATAGCACACAGCAAGAAACGAATAAATGGAAGTCTATGAGCGATTTGACCGTTTCCACATAATATATTTTTAAGTCATGGAACAGCAATGATAAATTACGATCGTGATAGCTCGCAGCAATGTTAAGGATCGCATAAATAGCAGAACTTCGAACCCTAATTGTATCACACATCTGACAATAGGTAAAATATTGCAGACAATTTAGTAATAAAGAAGACATGAATCTTAACTAGCTGTGTAGCTTAACTACAAAACGCATGCCGAGCAAACACTCTATAAAAACAAATTACTGGTGGGGTTAATACAAACCATCTTTGAAGACTAGTTTTAGATTATTAAAACGAGACTATATCTAAAGCAATATGCTTACCTTTTTGCCAATATTCAAGCGTTGTAAGGTCAGAATTATCCAGTTGTTTATTGTTGGCAAAGATCGTAAAGTTCCATAAATAAAAAACTTGGAGTTGAGAACTTTTTACCGACCACTCGCCTCCATATAAATTCGACGACGCTTGAATTAAAAAAAATATTTCATAGCTGATTCTGTCATCTTCTTTTTTAATATTCCACAAAGAAATGATTTCCTTCTTTCCGATAAGTTTTTAGAAAACGGTACCTAAGCTTACCACAAATCCCCAGAGGCGAGATATCGGAAAAAATAACTAATATCTTGATGAAGTGTTCTTCGATCGCTTCAGTTAGAGTTCTGTTCGAATAACTGKTCGAAATCGTCCTAAGGGAACCAGGAATATCCTTCGATTACGATCCCTTCAAGCTGGAGAGAAAAATCRAAAATCACTCTTCAGAAAAGAGGATTTCCTAGGTTAAAAAGCGAGAATTCAAAGCCGTTTGGTTGAGTTATTACCAATCAAGTCAGACAGACCTCATCTGCTRTAAGCGCCCAACTGCAATTTGTCGTGTTTATGACGTTACCAAGGTACAGAGGTGACGAACGCCTTGAACATTTCCCCAAAAATGAGTTATAAAAAAACACCCAAAACTAAAAAATTCTTAATGCGCTAAACCTCAATACTGCGAAAAACGATTAATCGCTAATGGGTTCCATATATATATATGGGCACGAAACCATTTTTTTATAAAATGAATGTAAAAAACGTCACGTTTAAATGACGTGACCAGGATTAAACATGACGTATTAAGTGTAATAAATTCAGTTGTTGTTCCGTAACGTCATACAGCTGGGGAAACTACGTAATTTGGCTTAAACATTCCCACAATTTGCGAGATCCACAATGTTTTTCTTGTTGCTTGATTTTCACATTTTCAATAGTTCATTTACTTTCCTTTTTCGTGTCATTCCTGGTTCTTGACTTCTTTAAGTGTTAGAACTCTTAATATAGTTTCGAAAGCGCGTGCATGCTCTCTGCCGACTCGATACTAATGCGTGCGACCCTACCATGACTATTGCCGTGATTCAAATCCTTGTCCGTGAARGAGTTCATGACATTAGCATCACCACCACCATCTTTGTTCATACTMAGCACGAGCAACCACTGCTTTTTCAAACGACGTTTTGGTGTACGTCAATCAAGTGAAAAATAACAATACGACGAACGAATATASATATATATATGTTTTTCATTTATAATATTGAAAATAGACCGAAATAAAAACTATCGACAAAAGCGGTCACCTCGAATTGGCATTCAAAAGATTGCCTGCGCTCCAAATAAAAATATTTGTTTTTGTATATSTTCATACTTTCATATCGCTTTAGAAATGAATAGTTTTGTGTCCTGGCTAATAAAACGGGATTTGGTTGTCGCGTAGGGAGGGCAGAGAAGCTGGCCACAATTCACTTCGTGACCCAAATTTACGCCAATTTTAAAACGTCTTCACAATTAATGATATGAGTTTAGGATATTCCCAATGTTGCCTCAAGGTTCAAGGTATATTTGATCGCCAAATTGAGGATTCATATCATGTAAATCATTTCTTGGTATTTACCCGTGACCCGCAATGGGTCAAATTATAGCCGGGACTCCCGCAACGAATAACGCCTACAAAGTTCCAGCGTACGTTTGCTCTGATTACAAAAGACTGTTTGGAATCATTTGGATCGAAAGTGTCAAAATTTGTCRACTGGCCATCAAAATAGATTTTTGAACAAGAAAAATGTGTCAATTGATTTCGTAGGCATGAATAATTAAATTTTCCCATTCAAAATCAAGTCAGCTTAGACTAAATCGGCTGTAATTTGACGGTCAAAACATCACGTTTACCAACAGTTGCATAATAAGTGTTGATATCGCTAACCACTCACTGGTATATTGTAGTTTAAATAAAATGATTGAAAGTACATAGAATCTTATCAATTTCCGTTAAGAGAGCAGATGTGTCAAAATCGATTCACAATTTAGAGTAAGAGGGAAAAAACGAAAGCTTTGCGCGCCTTTTTTTTTTTTTTTTTTT